TTGAACAGCGCAAATGTTAGCCGCGAGTTCGTCTACACATGATGTAACGATATAACAAAGAAACTATATCGTACGCGAGACCAAGGTACAAATAGTCCGCCCCATTCGAATTCACGACGAGTCAACGTATTTGTAATTCAACACGGAGTCCCCGTGCGGCTACGTATTGTTTCATCTACGACCGCTTAAGGGGAAACTCTTTGTTCTTCGAAACATTTATAAGTCGCGAATCATTTGTTAGTATCGCGTGGCGCTTAAAATTAGTAGACCGCGATATTGCACGTCGATATTCCACGTTTACCCTTCGCCCTTCTTGAACAGGTATTTTGGTGTTAAAATTTCTTGTTCACTTCGCGCAGGCGCTTTTGACAACACAGCTCATATGTATGCAGCCCTCGCCTCAGACTAGTTAAAGTGAATGCACGTTATTTGCATTCCAACAATCGCGAAACAAAGACGAATAATGAGAATAAAACTGGAAGTGGCACCGATCGCCGTTTAACTTTAAATTGAAGTCGCAACCGTAGTCTAGACGCGAACACAATTCTGCATCAAATATACTCAATTTGTTACTTTTTATTTTTTTTAGGTGTCGACTACACGTTATCCCTTGTTGGATAATCCAATAAAGCGAATTAGAAAATGTTAAAATTGTAGACGTTCAAGTAGTTCATTATTTATGTACGATATTTAATAAATAATTTACTTAGGTTAAAATAAATACTGTAAATGTAGTTACTTTGGCCGTAGGGATTCAGAGTATGTCGTACGTAAACCAATTTAGGAGGAGTGTAATTCCAAGCAGTACGGGACAGTAAACCGCTGTTGAGATGACGTACGTGGGCTCTGGACGAGGAGATGCTCTTCATTAGGGCACCGGGGCGGTGAGGCGAGGGGGTGAAGCGGGCGAGGCTGAGCGATGGCTTTATGGGACAATTTGCATTTACACGAGCCGGAGCACAGATTACGCCCGCACTTATCCGCCTGCCGAAATGACGCGCTCACCTCCCCGCGGCGAATGCGACCGAACAAGCCTTTGTTTATATTTCCGACGAATTTTTCACCCGCCATTTATTTTGACGGGCCATTTCTAAAACATGATGGCTCTTAAAATGGAAACCCACTGTGTTTTATTTTATATTCGTTTGAGAATTTTATCTGACCGGTTGCCTAATAGCTTAGAGGTTTGGCTTGAGAGCATGTAAAGCGATTGGTCTACTGCTGCCAAATTGTTGGAAACTGGAAATTTTGTGAATGTGTTCTTTAAAGATATTTACATTACATTTCAAAATTAGATTTAACTACACTCAATAACAGTTATAACTTAAGAAAATAAAAGCAGTTCCATTTTACGCAAAGAACAATAATTTGTCACTGGAATTAAAAAAGATATTGATAACATTTACGAATGACAAATTGTTTTAATACATAGAAGTAAATGTCACAAAAATAAAACACCTCATTCACATCAACAAAAAAGATGAAAGGGTTGAATGAAGTAATACATACAAGGTATCCACGTATAACTGAATGGGCCATTTATAAATCCCTGCTGACCCACTTTTAGATAACCACCTTTGAATCGCCCTGACAAAAGCATGTCGATCGAGGAACATAATGTCTGACCGACCATCGGAGCCTCAATTTAGAGCCCGCATGAGCCTATCGAAATCAGAACATCGAGCAATGAAAGAATCTTGATATGACTGAATATTTTTTTTATTACTAAAAGAATAGGTAAACAAGTATGAATTAAAAATTTTAATTTCTTACTTATATGACATCCATACCTATCATTTAAAGATAGTATAATATGTACAAAATGCATGTAAAACAATTAAAGAACAATTAAATTAATTATTCATTTAAAAGTGTTATACTAATTCCTTTTTTTAAAATTTAATTATTAACTTTTTTGCCAAATAAAAAATAATTTAATGCCATATTCGATATTTTGTAACGTCATGTATGAATTCATTGTTGAGTCCAGGATCGGCTATTTGCCGCGCTGTCGCCATTCAATATAGGTGCATGATACGGTACACTTAATCAGGGAAACTGCTACGTGATACAAACTTAAATTTGTATTATAATGAAGTCGTGCTTAGTTTATGTAAACTACTATTCGGTTAAATATAATGTTAAGTAATTGGAAAATAAAAGCACGCTTAACACAATCTTAATGTAATTTCTTTTGTGCACTATTCTTGGAAGCAATGATAGCAAATTAAAAATAATATTCAATGCTCATGCGCAGTATATTACAATGAATAAAGTAACATATGTTTTAATATTGTTATGATTACGAATTAATTACAAGCATGTTTTAACAATGTTATTTAACATATTACACATCTACTGCATACATTATATCTAAAAGCGACTATAATTAAAAATAAACAAGCTTAAGAGATGAAGAAAGAATTTAGTTTCAAAATAACATAATGACTAAAAAAAATAAAAAAGGACGCAGGCACATTGCTCTCAACATTGTTAAACACACATCGTTCAAATATGTCCCTTTAAATACGTAGGGGAGATGCTGTGAGGAATGATCGGTCATATATCGTCTTTAAAACGAGTTGACAATACGAGCGGTGTAGCAAGAACAATCAAACGAGATCCATCTTAAATGGGGCCTATTTATTTCCTTAAAACCTTTAATAAATTACGTTTAACATCCATCGATCACAATAATAGTTTTGTTAACAAAAAGATAAGCTCTTGTGTACGGTATTTGGATTTATTTGAATTCAAAATATTGTGTTGAGTTTTTGAACATCAGTTTAAGGGCGTACATCTTAAGTTTTATTGTATGCGAGCATACGGCAATTTGAAAAGGTGATTTACAATGTGAGAGACCGTGAAATACGATGTAACAAAGTATATTCAATGTACGATACTAAACATCTGTGGATTTGATATTTACAACTAAACTTTAGTAGAGTCATAAAATTCTTGGTAATCTCTAATCGCACTCAGAGTCCTGTAACCACTTAAGCTGTTTATTAATATTCGTATTAAATCTAAACTAAACAATAATTGGCAATTAACGACGGTAAATGCATCAAAGTTTGTTGCTGAAACACTAACACACAATTAATAACAAAACATTGAAGTTAAAGGAACCCTAGATTTGTTACCTAAAATATTCAATTTACAAAATCAATGAAATACAAATAAAAAAGTTATTTTTAATTTAAAAAAGCTACGCCCATTTCAAGTCAGTTCTGGAAGTGACATACCATCGCCACATTTTTATCTTCGGGGGCGTAATATGTGTCAAAGTTAATACCAGACCGCTCAAAATGTACACGCGTAACAAATTCGACGAAGTGGATTTACAGAGGGCAAGCTAAATATGGCTGCAAAAACGAAAAAGAACATTAAGAACTTTGTCACAGTTCTTGTGAAAAGCTTAAGAATCGTAAATGTTTTCATATGTGTCGAATGCAATAAATAACCTATTAGCAAACACATTAAAGATTTGTCCATTCGCTTAGCGTTACATTAACTTAACGTTTATTAATTATCAAAACTCATTTTATAATTGTTATTTTTATTATTAGAAACCTAACCAAATATAATCTCTAGTGTAAATATTTCAAAGAGCAGTATCTAAATAAATTTAACAATTTATTCTAAAATGATTTTCTTGTACACTTAGTAACATGCGCACGAGTGTTCAACGGTTACAAAACGATAAGAAACGCAACTGGTAAAGGCTAAACAACCTGCAACTGTCCACCGTAATTACGTTGAAGGTATTGACGTGTTGAGAATGTGGTCGCGCAATCTACCAAGATTGGTTACGCTTACCATCTCAGTCTATACAGATGCCGAGTCCTTTACAAATCGGATACATGTAATAGTGTTATCCAAGCATTATGTATAACCAGTTATACATAATACCTATGTTCAATTGTCGACAAAACGGTAAATAACATTATACCAATTAGGGTGCTGTTTCATTTGTCGAAAATTCGGTTACATTGTGAGTGCGAGAGATGTCTTGTTTCCGCACAAAGCTTGCTTTACATCGACCAATCATTTTCATTAGTCATTAGTCCGTATGAGGGAATTCGAACGAGTTATTGAACAATGATGTTCTGCCGTCATAAAATCTGGTCTACGCATGGTATATTGAATTGTTAGTATCTGTCAGCTTTAAATTGATTCATTTAATAAAAACTACACGTAAACAAAAGGAAAAAGAGTACACAATAACAAAGGTGGTAAAAAAATAAAATAAGTAGAGAAAGCGTGCAACCAAATAGTTGGTAGTTGTTGTGCGGAACAGTTTTTCAATCTGGCAACAAATGGTTGTACGTTTACAGAGGTTACGGCGCACAGAACGTTGTACAAATGACTGGAGCGCAGGTGTTGCTTTATTGAAAAAACAGATACAAATTACTGCTTCTTCTACCACCTTAGATAGATACGATTACTTATTTAATGTAGGCGGTAAGAAAACAAGATAGCATAATACTTGAGAATTAAATAATTGTTTTGATTAAAGACCCAAAAAAAAATAATTAAAATATTAGCGGATTTTTGTGTATTTACTGATATTTCTTTTACCATTCCAACTAAGCTCTACGCTTGTGCTAGGATATGGTTTACGACAATAGTCGAATGGCGGGATTCGAACTCTCGGCCGTGTGATTGGGAATCCGTATCCTTAAACATTAATTGACGATTGGCTGTCAAAAATTTGGTTGATATGCAGTAAAAAATATGAAACATTTCTGTTAGATCATAGAATCTTTAAGCCATTTACTATTGTTATGTATGCGTACTAAAAACTTAGATATACTTTATAATCATATTTATTCTATACTTCTAGAGCTAACCTAAAACTAGATCGTATATTTCTAGAGGACGGTCACTGTGTATCGTACAAATATTGGCAGCTTTGAACCAATTTCGGTACACGAGTCCTATGAGCTGGGGGTAGTGCCCACACTGCGGGCGTTATATGCAAACTTAATTTCACTCACCTAAGATGTGGCCAGTTATTCGATGTTATAACATTCCGCAACGCAATATCATAAACTTCACACAGCTTTCATGTCCTGAAACAAATTGAAACGAATTAAGCAATGTCTTACTTTTGAAAGACCTATAATTATAATACATTAAACAATGTGACATCAATCTTTATAACTGCGTAAAAATACTGCTTTATTTGTAATGGACTTAACCCATCTTTATTACCTCTTTGGATAACCGTTACCACCATTATTCAGTGCCGATAAAGACAATCTACCCTTAAATACCTATAAAAATAGACCTTCATAAACAAGCAATATCTTTTTTATACATCATAATAAATGAATATGCTTTATCATTTCATAAAAAATAAAACGCCCGAATGTTTTCCCGTTAGACAATTCTCGTAATGTCAAATATTTTGAAATGAAAACTGAATGCACCAGCTGTGCGGAAGGAAATAAAATATTTTATATTAAAATACAATTCCGATTTCAATGAGGTAAAGTCAAACGGCGCCCGCATCGCTCGGATGTTTCGCGATAAAACTTCGCCGACGGATCGGGTCGAATTGTGAAACAAAGCGCCGAGGGAAGTCGAAGTGAGGCGAGGCGAGGGCTGCACAGGTGTGCCGGACGATTCGCGCCTCCTCTAATCAACCGGAAATGTTTGCTCGGACGACCCGACGGTCCTAACACATACTCCTAACAACACAGACCGGTCTGCACACCGACACCCGTCCATTCAACCGAATGTCACCCGCGACGGAATTTAAACGACATCGCAATCGGTCAATAGCTACAGGACTGCGACAGACCTGTCTATTTATCCGCTTGACTCCCCACACAAAAGGCTTTCCATCTTGACTTTAGCATTGACTCTTTTATAATGTCAAAGCTCGCCTCGTCTCACGATAACACGAAAAAGAAACAACGGGCCGCGATAAAACGACAATGAATAAGTACTCCCGCATTCAATTTAACAATCTCCAAAGTTACATCACGGGCTTGAGTTAATGTAGTCGGTCAAACAAAGCGTCGGGTCTTTAAGCTTATCTAGGAGAGAGCGAGTCGTGTTGCGTGCGACGCCGCGTCGGCGGCGGCGGGCGAGGTGCAAAACACGCGCCGATGTGCAGATAGCGCACTCAGCATTCTTTTGTTTCGCTGAGGGATGAGCGCCGCTCGTTAGTGCTCAGATCTGTGTAAACCTTTTGACACTTCGCTAAAGGGTTCATTTCGTCTGATTAATGTTGTAATTCCTTCAGTTGTGCGAACAAAAAAGACACTCGGAGCATTTATACTGTGACGGCTTGTGAGCGGAAGAAAAATGAGGAGAATTTATCTTAGCCGTATATCGTAACCGAGCGGACGACTGGTTGCTGTTAGGTTAAACGAAACGTAGTTAAAGTTGAGAATAAATGTAGACTAGAATAATCCTTAGATTCCACATTTCTATTTTTCCACTCGTTCGAACGTAAGCAACACGTTTTAGTGAGATAACATATAATACTTATCACTCTTCGTAGCTGATGGAGATAGGTAACACGAAAGATCGCGTGAAACGTTGCCACGGGAGGATCCTAAATGCAACGCCCGACAGGCAACAACACGCTTACTCATTAAATGATAATAAAATTTCCTAACTATAGTTATATAGGTTTCTTAATTCAACAAAACCGATTGTATCATTTAATGTAATAAAGATAAAATATAAGGACAAAAAATGTTGTTGGTAAATCGATAACAGACATAAAAAGATATAAAACACATATGAGGCACAAACTTAATATAATAGAGTGCCAAAAGGATGCCAGCTCAGGGAACCAGTAAACAGACTAAACTGTTCCTACGCTGATTTACAGATGGAACGTTTAAAAACAAACAAAGAAACAAAAAACATATGCGCACTTTATAGCATTTATTCATTCAAGTTAATGTGTAAATATAACGAAACAATTTTATTAAAATAACAAAATATAAAATTATTAACACCCAATGTTTGTAATATAAAAATATATAAAAAATATATTTCTGTATTCAACTTGTTATTCGTCAAGTAACCACTCGGCGGTGTTTCAAGTGGGTATACTTGTTAAAATATACATTTAATATTAATGAAAATGACTGCGACACTTGCCACAAAGGCGGCCGTCAGCTCTAACAATCTGGCTCATTACTGAGACTACCTTTGCGTAATTAGAAAAAAAAATCCGGGTATGGCTAAGTAAATGCGATAACGAGGTAACTCTTCAGATGAATATAACAAAGTTATAAGCAACTAGTTTAGGTAAAGCGCTGTCTCCGGCTTCTTAATTTTCTTTGCAAGCTCTTTTAAATTTTCCATCGCTTTTAAGATTCGCTACTTCAAAACGTTCCGCCCGTAACGAATTATGAAGTTGCTATGCAGTTTTCTTTGTAGGGAACTTTCTATCACTTAATGAAAGAAATTTTTTAAATGACATACATTTTAAAGGTGAAGTGGAAGACTTTGTTAATTATAAGATTATAGAGCACGACCTCGTGCCCTGTTACCCTGATATATATCTAGAAGACATGTCTTATGTCATCAAATTATTAAAAAAAAGAAGCAAAACATAATGGAATAAAGAATAAAATCTGGATGACCGGTATTTTTTTTAAATTGTGTTTTTTGGAAGTTATATTTAAATACGAATTACTAATAAAATGATGAAATATGTATAATATTTTTCGATCTAACCGATAGAACTTAGACATAAACTTAACTTAAGTTTATGTTTAAGTCGATTATCGATAACACACGAATAAAATGACATTTTCTTAAAATAATTCCTAGCTAGATCGATTTATCGCCCCCGAAACCCACTATATACTAAATTTTATGAAAATCGTTTGAGCCGATTCCGAGATTCCAATTATGTTATACAAAAATATTATTGCTCATTTAAAGATATAAGATAATATGTATTAACCCTTAATTCGATGGTATCCAGTGTGACGATCTAATTAAAAAAATCTACTGAACTAGTCTAGAGAAAATTACGTAAGTATGACTTTACTAAAAGAAAAACAGTTTTTTTGCTACAAAAAATTTCGTCGAATTAAGGGTTAAGCGGCTTTACTTGGAGATCAGATAACAACAAAATATGATAGTAATAATGTTTAAAATCCTTATAAAATTTAACAACAATAGGCCATTGAAATGATTATCGCTTCGGTCTGCTTATGTTAATATTTGTATCGGTCTTGTGGTTTACTTTTATAGCGCTATATTTTCAACGATTTGTCCTTACCAAAGTTATAAGTATAATAACGTAGGCAACTAAACGTAGGCGGTTTTATTTACAAAGGGAAATATCCAATGCACTTGTAAAGAAACTGGTTTTAGTGTATCGAGCGGATCGTTTCAAAGATATATAAATAGTTTAGTCGTCGTGTTCTTTAGTGAATCGGCAGGTTAATATGTAAATGAGATAAGCTTCGTATCTATCAATTCATTTTACGTTTGTATTGCAGTCATTCGCAACGGATTGGATATTATTATCTCTTATGCTTTATGACTTAGGTGGGGACAATTTATCATTATCGATATGTGAGATAAAACAGACATTTCCTGAATCATTATGTCCGCGTGGCTTGTAAGATAATGATGTAATTTCCTTGTTAAGTTGTTTAATTAAGTATCTAATAGTTGCTACACGTTCAGACATCTCGGGTTCGAATGCTATTGCTATCAGTAATGTTTCAAATTATCTACATAATTCATTGCGGAGATAAAACAGATGTATTTCTGTCGACGAACTCGTTGCGTGTCTATTTAATTACATATCCATTCGTTTTATTTAAGTTTACTTAGTACTCAAATGATCATATTACAAAATTAGTTTATTAGTATAGGAAATTGTTAAAAAATCATTCATAAATTGTCACTTTTCGCTTCAAAAGCTTGCATTCCAATTAGACAGGATTTTGTAAAATTGTATCTGCAATTGCGATCGCAATTAAAAAGTTTTTTTTTTTCAGTAAGGTGCATCTTTCAAATTTAAAACTGGCTATTAGTATCTTATACTATTAATTATTAGAGAGATAAAGTATAAAAAGTTTTTATAATTATTTTTACATTGTAATTACCTATTAACGATGTTTTCCACTTAACACTGTCATTGTAACCCTCGTCGAGTACAACGTCATTCTAGTTTATTTAAAAAAAGTCGAGTTGTACTTTTAGAATAAGTCAAACTGTCAAAACATCAGAATTAATTCTAAGAAAATGCTCGTACACGCTGTATGTTAATTACTAGTCGTGAAACTTCAACGTAATATAATTATAGGTGCGTACTTAATATAAAGAGTTGCGGACCACAGTATACAATTAATAAAGTAACATTCAACTGCATTTTTTAATTATCATAATTAGGTGATATTTTTTTTCATAAGTTACGAATTTATCAAAATATAAAAACTAACATTGATTCTACACAATGCTTTTTCTAAACAAGACAATGTAAAATGAGTGCTGTTTACTGACGTTATTATCAATGACAAAAACGCGTTGTATTTATTTTTTTCTCTAACAATTTCTACTTTGCCAGTTGCTTAGTACCATTATCACAATATCAAGGTAAATTTTGAATAAGTGAAGGTACAACTTATCTCTTGACGCACAATATGCACAGTAGAGTAGTAATAACGATGTAATGTGATGTAGACAAGTGATAAAGCGCGTCGCGACGCGGCCGGCCCACCCCGCGCCGACACGCGAAGGGTGACGTCCTGTAATATCACGTAGACAAGTCCTAACATATTCTTGGAATTACATTTTTAAATTGGCCGTCAAATTTTACTATTCACAGTTATCCAACAAAGTAAAGTTAGCTATTGTTACAAAATTGTTTTAAAAATGTCTGAGTCATTGCACTTCAAAATAATCTTTTCGGTAGATTTACGAACGTACTAAACTACTGTCATAGAACTAAGAAGAGTACGTAGTAAATTTTATCATACGACATTTTATAAAATACAAATTAATTCTCGTAATCCAGTTCTACCATTCACTTAATAAGATTTTCCAAATTTAATTTTGATATTTCCTTTTAAATTGGTGT